GAGAGAGAGAGAGAGAGAGAGAGAGAGAGAGAGAGAGAGAGAGAGAGAGAGAGAGAGAGAGAGAGAGAGAGAGAGAGAGAGAGATGGCGCCCGCGCACGTCCAAGCGCTTCTTTCTGCCCTGGAGAAGCAGACAAACAAGGAGCGTAGTGTTGAGTGAGGGAACGGCAGTGGACGCGGCTAGTCTCTCGTTGTTTCTCTGGGTTTGCCCCCCTCACTCTCCGCTCTGCTCGGGCGCAGCCTGCACCTCTTCACTGCCTCCCTTTCCCGCGTGCTCTCCTCGTGCGATCTGGCGGGGCTGCGCTCATATAGCTAGCGCTGTGATCTTTCCCACGTCATCTTCCTCCTGCATCTCTCTTCCAGCTGTCTGTGTGTGTGTGTGTGTGTGTGTGAGAGAGAGAGAGAGAGAGAGAGAGAGAGAGAGAGAGAGAGAGAGAGAGAGAGAGAGAGAGAGGCTCTTCTACGCTTCTCACAGAGAGAGAGTACTACGCCTCCCTCCATCTAACGTACCCCCACCCGCTTACTAGCTCTGCTGTCGTGGCACTACCTAACTGCTTACTACGATGCTCCCCCGTCTAACTGCCAACCCCTAATTATCTCTTCTGACGCGGAACTATTTCAAAACAATAAAAAATGATTTGTGAGTGTCATCTTAGCACGGGGGCCAGGCCTTAGGAGTAGTGGTAGGTAGGTAGTGAAGGTGAATTGAAAGAATTTGAAAGATGATGAAAGATTTGAGAGAAGAATGTAGCATAGTTTTTTGAAAAAATATTAAAAAAAATATATAAGTGGGTCCTTGTGACACACGGGGATGGGTGCAGCCAGCGCTCAACCTGTCATCCATGTGGCTGGCCTTGTACGTAAGAGGTGATGAACAAGTGGGGCTTTCCTTCCTTACTTCTTTTCCTTTCTTGTTTTGTCTTTTTCCGCCTTAGCGCTCTGATTCACAGCGTGACAATATATATATATCTATAGATATAGATATTCATGTGACGATATATATATAATATCAGAGCGCAAAAGCGAAAAAAAAGAAAAAGAACGAAAACAAGGAAAAAATGAATTTCGTTTTTTTATCTTCTTCCTTACAACTCCCCCTGTTCAGAACCTCTTGCGTACAAGGCCGCCCACATGGATGTAAGTTGAGCGGCGGCTGCCCCCACCCCCGTGTGTCATATCGACCCACTTGCATAGAGCCAAAAGGCAAAGAGGCAAAGAAAGAGGAAGGGAACAGCCAAATATAACAAAACAGGGGGAAACAAACATAAACAAATCCTAGATGACAAGTCCCACATGCAAGCACCACCCCCTCCGTCACAGGCCAAACAACGGGACAAGACCAACCAGGATATCAATCAACACCCTTGCCTGCAAACAAGCAAAATCCCAGATAACAAACCTTTCGTACTCACCAGTGACTCTGCGTCAACTCCAAGAATCCTTTGGGATTGTTGTTTGTTGCAAAAACCGGTATCGTTTTAATCTTTCTACTGCTTCGCTGTTCCAAACTAAAATGCTGGGACGCCACCAACGGCGCCCCATCGCACCAACGCCGAACAACAGGAAACAGCCAACTAGGATGCCAAAAGGATAAAAAAACCCGGATGACAGGTCGCACATGAAATCACCGCCACGGACGCCCCCCTACCGTAAGCCGAACAACGGGACGAAACCAACCGGGATGCAGACAAGGGTGCCAAAATTACCAAAACAAATTCTGGCATAACCATAGTAAAAAGACGGATCCATACAAAGCACAGATCCCAGATGACGATTCCCACATAAAAGCACCGCCCCCAAATACACAGGCCGAACAACGGGAATCAACCAACCAGGATGCCAAAATAAAAAGAACCCGGATGACTAGTCCCACATGAAAGCACTGCTACGCATCCCAAAATAGACCGATCAACGGGACAAAACCAACCGGGACGCAGACAAAGTTGCCAGAACAAATTCTACCATATCCATAGTAAACATACTAAACAAACGTCATTTTTTTCATTTTTCATTTTTCTTTTTTTCGCTTTTGCGCTCCGATATTCATGTGACGATATATACATATAAAAAAGAAAAAAGGAAAAAAGATACGTTGATCTGTGGGATGTGTTATTTGCTTTGTGATAATTGGATTATCTTTCTTTCCCTGTCAGGTTTGGTTTCCTCCTCCCTTTCTTTACCTCTTTGCCTTTTGGCTGCGTGCAAGTGGGTCCTTGTGACACACGGGGATGGGGGCAGCCAGCGCTCAACCTGTCATCCACGTGGCTGGCCTTGTACGTAAGAGGTTATGAACAGTTGGAGCTTTCCTTACCTCTTCCCCTTCCCCTTTTTTTTCCTTTTC